AAATGACCTCTGGGGCAGCACCTGGGTGCACTACCTGCAAGAAGTAGTGGCACAAACCCTACCTTCCAGCACTCTTTCAGTTTTGATCCATTCCTTCCTACAAGTTCCCACCAAGCCTCTCCCCATTAACTTCCATCGGCTGTCAGCGTCCCACACCTGCCCAGCCTCATACAGAAGTACCATCAGGAGCTGTTCCTGCTCCGCGGGGCACCCACGGCACCAGCCAAGCGACAGGCAGGGCAAAGCTGGCTGCATGGCCGGGGACACCGCAGAGGCTTACCCCTGAAGATTTCATGAAGCAGAGAAATCAGGTAAGGTAAGACAGCTGGAGGTTTTGCTACAAGTCATGTCACAGCCATGCCCTTACACCAGAATACCAAGCCAACAGCTGAGCAGTCAAGGCTTGGAGGTCCCTCCACATTGATTTAACACCAACAAAACACATGCCCCAGACCAAAACCTGATGATGATCAAAATTTAAGGCAGTTTTGCACACTGCTTCTTCCCCTGCTTGCACCTTTCATTGCACCCTCGTGCAAACTCAGCAGGGTAGAGAAGCACCTAAGGCAAAGGATCGTCTGTATTCCCATTTTGGTGGTGGTGGTGGGGAATCTGTATTACTTCTTTATCTGTTTACCGCCAACTACTACTATCATAAATACAGTAGTTGTCATTTAAAGTGATGGAGAGTGTTGGATGTTTGAGCACTTAAAGGGATCGTTCTTAAATACTTATGCAGGCTTGACGATCAGGAAACGCTCAGCGCACGTTTTCCGAGCCAGCACAGGCTGTCACAGGCAGACAAAACCGAGGGACCTCAGTGTCAGGCACTGGAAATGCAGTTGGAAGAGAAAGTCCAGCCAGGCAAGGCACAAAAGTGCTATGAAAATACAGCAGACCTAGTACTTGCGACTTATGCATGGGCACTTGTCTTGTACTTGTGCATTTCTACATACTCTCATTATATATACACACACATTAACCTGTATAGCGTCTTAATAATCTACCCCTACCCCCAGCAATCGTGCGGAAGCATAGCGGTGCTTTGTAGAACCATCAAGACAGTGACAAGAGTGCTAGGCTGACATCTGAAAGCTTGTCAGTGCTACTTGCTCGTTTGTTTTTCAACGCATTCCTTTCTGAAACTAAGAGCAATTTTTTCAGTGAACCTATGACTCACAACGGCAGCCCGGCCTATGAGCCTTACATGCTAAACACACTTCCAGCTGGCAATCAGTCCAGATTTGTTGTCGGGGTCTGCGGCAGGGAAGCGCCAGCAGCCATCAGAGCAGGCTGCAACAGTGCCTTGGAACCCGGGCACCTAGGTCAGGTGCATTTGGCCTTGCTTTTGTTCTTAAACTAGTTGCATACAGGGGGGAGAAGGTCCAAAAACCAAAACATGATGTCCATGGTTTCCTGTGGCTTCAAGCTATGTTCCCTCTCAGCTTGGCTGTCACTTGTATTTCCACTCTTGCTTCTATTTTTGTTCTCCGAGTCATGGTTAATTTGAATTCTGTGGGTGAATCCTGGCCCTATTGAGTATGAGTTGTTTTTTCATTGACAAGCTGGGATCTCCCTCCTGGAATTTTCTTATTTATAAACATCAGAGCGCACTGAACTGTGTGCTTAAACAAGACTGACAAAATATCAGCCTAACGCAAGAGTGAATTATTTCAAAAGTGATTAATGCTGAGGAAACAGTGATGATTGTTCTCTTCACATGAAACTAATGCGCACACAATATCCACATCCTTTCCAAGCAGGTAACGCACCGCACTTCAGCTGCAAGCAAGACACCGCATAAAAACTGACCTTAGTTTCACACTACGTCTAATCCCCGAGTCCACATTAGGCTATGACAACAACTGTGGTGTCACTTACCAAAAACATAGGCAGTATTAACACATTTTGCAACACAAGAATCCTTTAAAAAGTTGGGAAGGTCTACATAATTCCAGGTGTTATTTGGCCAAATGCTCAGCCTTGGATGACCACACTTAAAGACTTCTTAATTTCCTGTAGTTGCTAGATTAGCGGGTGGAAGCACACATACAGAAATAAGGCTGCACATGCCTAATGGCATTGGTTTTAGCAAGCTCATGGGGTTTAAAGGAGTGAGCAAGACTGAGACTCTGATCTCTTACGTGCTTTTGAAACCTCTACCTGAGATGCTGAGAAATGGATTTAGGAGTCAAAACTGTTAAGACTTGGGCCTTACAGAGTGGTAAATATTTTAGAACTAATTATGCGCAATATAGCAAAAGAAAACTCCGCATTTTCTAGTAGTAATAGGTTTAGATAGCCACTCATTTCATTAATGCAGTTTAGCAGGCCCATGAAGAGCAAGGGTGTTTCGTTTTGATTAAGACGCTTTACCGCTCTACAGTTATGAACTGTAGTTTGAAATGAAGGAAAAGGTGTTCCTCGTCACAGCCTGCGAGCCTCAAACATTTCGGCAGAAAAGCGCAAGCCGAATAGCATTTTGGTGATGCACGTTGAGAAAACGCTGCAGACGGCCACAGGCATTCAAGCAGAGAGCCTGTGACCGCTGCAGGAGGTGGCGAGCGCAAGAGAAGGTCATTGGAACACAGGGCTCGTACTCGGGGAGCGAGGGGATGAGCTGAGGGAAAAAGGATCTCCATGGGAACGCGAAACACTGCACAGTCCCTTTGGCACAGCAAAGCGTCTCATGGGCCTGCCCCTTTTTAAAAGAACTGCCAAAGTTTGGGGCAGGGGAGAAGAGCAGCGCAAGAAATCAGTCTCAGTTTTGGAAGGCAGGAACCAAAAGAGCAACAACTTCTGCAGCACCTTGCACAAGGTACTGGGACATTAACTCTTCCTTTACAGCACTCTTAAGCCTTTCCTTAAACTAATTAATAAAAAAACCCAGCACTCTCTAGTACTATCAAGCTTCTCAAATATTTTTCAGCCTTGGAGTTCCTACTGCATAAGGAGAAGTTGTGTTCCCATGACATTTTTTACAGCTGTGTCAAGTTTTGCAGATATTTACCACAAGAAACTGGAAACTTTTAGTTGTGGAAACCTGCCCCCATCTCAGCCTAAGAACAGCACCTTATGATTTTAACAAGAGAGTTGTAGGGGAAAGAAACTGGAATAATAAAAGGGGAAATTAACCCAGAAAAACAGAAATAAAAGCCAGGAGAGAATAAAGAAAAGCTTTTAACTGATACTCTTAGCAGAACCCTTTCTGGGTAAACTCACCTAGGCTTCTACCTAGACTTACTGCTAATCTGACTACACTTACTGCTAAAACAGATTTATTGGGTTTACTGCTGTTTTTCTTAAGTATGCCAATCAGAAATGATTGCACCTCATTTCCCAGTACCACCCCCCTATTCCCCAACAGAAGTGGGTGTCCAGCTTCATCTCTAGCAGCAGAATCTCCTCAGGTAACTTCTACAAAATACCTGCAGCAGTGAGGGTGCCAAGAGCCCAAGCAGGGAACGTAGGCTGAACTTCCACAAGCCTTTTGTGGAAAAAAGTCATTTAATCTAGAATTAGAAAAGGATTGTGGCCAGCAAGGCTCCCTCTCCTTTCCATCCTTTGACAAAGTCTGCCTTGTTAGGATGCAGCTAATTCCTCTAAGCACTGCACTCTAATCCATCAGAAATCAAAGACAATTTTGCTAATAATCTTGTAGGCAACAGCCTAAGCTTTTATCTGTGCTGAGAGAACTCTTGATTCAAGACTGCTTTACTCAGAGTCACCCTCCTTCCCAGGGAGAGAATACTAACCTCTTTTCCCTCTCACCTCATGGACTTTCCCTTCTAAATACCTCTTAATAGCTCTGAGAAGCACCTGTTGACCATGAGAGAGAAAAACCCTCAGTGCAAAGCAATTACTATTTGCTTGTAATTTGTGTGCATTGCCTTAAACAGCTTAGCAATATTCTTCATCTTCCACACAGTTTAATTTCCTTCTGTAATCAAACCTCCAATTCCTCACAGTAGACTGTGAAATTACTGCTGCCCTAGCGCCCCAGGTACCTCCTTGGATTAACCACCACAAAATCCCCTCCCTGGAGCATGGTTACCTCTAGCCTGCAGACAGCCTGGAAGTCTAGATCAGGTTCAGGTGAAATTGCCCCCCTCTTACTGGAAATCCCGTTCTCCAGAGCCTGTGCAGCAACGCATCTATGTAGGGCGAGTATTTTGTGACAGGGAAATCCACAGAAGTTGCCATCCAGTTACCGCACAATGCCAGTGAGAATGTAAAACAAATTAGCTGGTAATTCACAGCAGGGTTAAAGTTAAAATCTTGCAAGGACAATGGCCAGCAAAACTTTCTACTGATAAGTTGGGGTTTTTTTCCCTTTTACATCTTACCAGATTATTGTGTTTTCCACAGCACAGGGGAAAAGGAAGCTGGAGTCTCTGTTGCATCTTTCCAGGAAGTCGGAAGCTGTGGAAGAAAGCGCGAGACCGGAGTGTGGGATGCTGCGGATGCCTAACTGTGAAAAACTGACAGGAGACATCATCCATGTGTACCAAGCACAGGACTCCCAGCAGCCTGGTAAAGAAGTAAAAAGGATGAGAGGACAGATACCTGGACATAAAAGGAATACAGTCATAGTATATCACAGCAGAAACAATGACCTTCATGTCTTTTCCTCTTTCATTTTTTAAAAAAATCCATATACAGATTAGCTCAACTTGTTAATAACGCAATCCACCAGTGTTGAGACTGTGGTGCCACCCAAAAGCACTAAAGTCTCATATGCCTACTTGATAGTTTTCTTACACATTTTTATCGAAATAAGCATCGTGTCTCTGCTGTGATTTCAGGAGGTTTTCACATGCACAAATACACCCACTTGGTTATGGAATTGTGGGAGATCACTCCACTTAATACTCTAGCAAGATAGTCACTAAACGGTAAGTCACTGTAACCCGAGCAAAAAGAAAAAAAAAGAAAAAACCAAACGAATTCTGCCTTACATCATTGCCATTCTTTGGTGCTTCAGACAGCGGTGGTCACTGAGATTATTTGTGCAGACTGACATGCGGTCACTAAGGCTATCAAGGCTACCAGACCATCTCCAAGATATTTTTCCATCTCCCTTACTGTTCAAGGGGAAGAATTCTCTCTTCTCACGCTAGGAACGTCTCCCTCTCCAGACTGAGGTATTGCAGTTGTTTCATCTCTAAGGCTTTAGGGAAGAGACAGCGTAAGGCAAAGTGATGGAAAGCTGAGAACTCATTACATGTGTATATTGCTTGGGGAAAGTTAGGGAA